CCTGGCCGGGTTCAGAGCTGGCTCCCATTATCTCGCTGCAGTCGGATGAAAAGCCGAAGAAGAAAAAAGGATTAGCCAAAATATGGCGTTTCGTGACTAGGTCTGGGAAGAACGAATCTTCCAGTGCTCGAGGGAGCCAATCTCTCGATCGTACTGAAGATGATACGGACTACCCGCTAGCTCCTCCACCTCCACTATCGTATCTCGTCAACCGAGGAAATCCTGGCGACCGGATGGGTCCTCGGCACGCTTCTACACCATCACTTCCTTTGACTGCTTCCCCGAAATTGGCTCTTTCCTCGACAACCGGTATCTCTCCTCCTACTGCACCGTCTACTACCCTTCCGTCTCCTGCTTCGTCTCGACAATCCGGCGCGGACCAAGACGCTGCTGAAGTACGAAGAATGGCTATCGTTCACAACGAAGACCCGGAGCTTCCAAATCCTGGATTTTTCGTACCTGCAAACGTCCATTCTCCAGTATCTGAACCAGACCTTCGTCGCGTCAGCCAAACCGCTGTGCCCATCATCGACATGCCGGCGGACAAGCAATATACACAGACAGTGTCGTCCCGGTTGACAATCTCTACAATATCACGAGATAAATCATTGCCACCTCTACCCAATGATGCGGTTATACGACCATATGTGAATGGCAACGCTCGTGACAGCAGTCGTCCACGAACCGTGTATACGTTCGACTCTCGCCCACCAGGCACTGGTGCTCCGCACGACTTTATCCCTCCTCAAGCGGCTTTCCGCACCGAGGCACGACGACAATCATTCGGGGGTCTTACTTCTCGACCGAACCTCACTGGCTTCCTCAGCAGATCAACGAATAGCAAGACAATGTCTAATTCTCAACGAAGTGTGGACCCAACGTACGACGAATTCGGTGCCTCGCGTGGTTCTTTGCGGTTGCCACCCGCTGATCCCAATGCTCGTCGTTCGGTAGCTCTGACTGGCCCCACGAAGCGACGGTCGAGGTTTGGGTTGTCCAGCTTACTAGGGAAGAAGAACGCTTCTCCCGATCGGTCAAAGGGAGTGCACGAGCCACAATACCAACCGTATACATTTCCACCTCATCAAGGGCAGTTTCAACAGCAGCAGCAGTTCCCTGCTATTCATACTTCTGGATCCGATATGCATGATGAGGTTATGACTGGGTACGCTACGTCCAATTCTCGACATAGCGCTCTCAGTGGTACCGGTGGCGGAGGCCCGCGCATGTCAATCACTTCAAGAAAGGCGTTGGATGAATTGGTATCGCAGGATGCGGAATTTGTCGCATATCGATATCCGTCGAACGACCAACGTCTAGACCTGTTACGCCAATGAAGTTCACAAGGAAAGCGTTGCTAGTTTTCGCATCATGGACTGTCTATCTTTCGTGTCGTCTGCAAATCTCTCTCACTCCATTCAACCTGTTATATCATGTTCTCAATTCTGCTTTCGACTCCAGATTTTGTACACATACAATACTTACTCACACATAGGTCTTTGGATTCTTTTCTTTTTTTTTTTTACCTCTACCCGTGTCGTGTGTCGTTAAATTTCACCTTTCCGATCATTGTTCCAACACAATGTTGCTTTCTTGGGTTTCGTTGCTCTCACCTCTTTACTCCCATTCTCTCATCAATCTTTAATTTCTAGCTATCTATTCCGAGTCACACTTGACTGGCAAACAGGACTTTCCATCTCAGAATCCTATGATGTGCACATTCTTTTCTGTTCCCCTTTCCTGCAATGCATATATCCTAATTTTATGTGGTGAAAAATTGAATATACTACGTCATGCAACACAGGAAAGCAAAGTCATGTCACAAGTTAACGGAATATGCCCCCTTCATACGAATCACTACCATCCAACGACTCTGAGCAAGATATAACCCAACCTCAGGCCAGTACACCGCAAAGATCTGACAAAAGGTCTAGAGCAAGTAGCAATCTGCTTTTTATAATCCTCGGATTTCTAGTCTCTGCATTCGTCTTTTATAAAGCAGGCCAGTGGTCTGTTTCACCGTTGCCTTCGGCTACATCAGGAGAATCACTTTCGGTGCCCACTGAAGACGTCAAAGAGAACGAGAGTGTATCAGACGAGAACAACGGAACCACTACGTCCTCCGTTGACCAAACTATGCCAGGAAAATATAGCGTTGGATAGTAAGTCTTTTCAAACTCGTGTATCTGGCGCGACTGACAGCCAACCTGTTAGTTTTGTGAATTGGTGTGCAACGTTCAGCCTTGTATATATCTAGCTCATTGGCAGCGTTTGAAGGGGAATCTATGGACGGAAGTATCCTCCTTCTTCAATTCCTGTACAGGATTTGACGTAGGTACTCTCGTTTCTCATTCCGTCAGCGAAATTCAAAATGCATATCAGTCACATCCTCTATGCCTTTGCCAACATCAATCCATCCTCTGGCGAAGTCTCACTGTCCGATCTCTGGGCTGACCAAGACATACACTACCCCGGCGATTCCTGGAATGACGTTGGCACCAACCTCTACGGCAACTTCAAAGCCATTTACCTGCTCAAGAAAGCCAATCGACATCTCAAGCTCCTCCTATCCATCGGTGGCTGGACGTATTCGCCTTCGTTTCATCCGGTTGTGGTATCTCCATCGTTGCGAGCCAAGTTTGTGGAGAGCGCTGTGAAATTGCTGGAAGACTATGGTCTGGATGGTCTGGATGTGGATTATGAGTATCCACAGAATGATGCCCAGGCCCAAGGATATGTGGGTTTGTTAAGAGAGTTGAGGGAAGCGTTGGATAGACATGCGACGAATAAAAGGGCAGATTATAGGTTTTTGTTAACGGTAAGTTGTACCTTCTTTACTGATACCGTTCGTTCTCAATACTCCTTTCACTCAGATCGCAGCTCCGTGTGGACCAGACAACTACAATAAACTACGTATTCGAGAAATGGATCAATATCTCGATTTTTGGAACATGATGGCATATGACTTTGGTACGTCTCCTTCTCACTTCTAAACGCAGCATTCAAATACCTCCATCTATCAGCCGGATCCTGGGATCCAGTAGCTAATCACCAAGCTAACCTTCACCCGTCCCCTACCACCGCCCTTTCCGTCTCCCAATGCATCTCTTACTACCTATCCTCGGGTGTTGCTCCAAGCAAGCTCATCATCGGCATGCCCCTCTACGGACGCTCTTTCCTCCAAACCGAGGGACCTGGAACCCCTTTCAACGGCATCGGCCAAGGAAGTTGGGAAGCAGGCGTGTATGACTATCGAGCCTTACCATTGCCGGGCTCGCATCTCATGCAAGACGATAAAGCCAAGGCTAGTTGGTCGTATGATTATCAGAAGAAGGAGATGATAAGTTATGATAGTGAGAATGTGGGCAAGTGGAAGGGCGAATGGATCAAGAAGATGGGATTGGGTGGAAGTATGTTTTGGGAACTGTCTGGGGATAAGGGCGGACCTGAAAGGCAGGATATGGAGGGTGGCCATGGAAAGGATGTTCAACCTGGACAGAGCTTAGTGAAGGTTGTGAAGGAGGCAATGGGTGGACTTGAGATGGGGCAGCAAAATTGGTTGAAATATGACCAAAGTCGGTTTGATAATCTACGGAATGGGATGGAATAAATGCAAAGGAAAATAACACTGGAATTGGGCCATGATTGTTCGTTCCATGTATACATAGTACTATCGATTATAATTCACACTGACACTACACAATGCAGCTTGCACAATGTCGTTCATGGCAATCGTGACTATCGTGAAACCAAAGGAGAAGAAACAAAGTAATTCATGTATAAAGCAGAAAGCAGAAACAAACAACTTGAAAAAATCGGAAAGTGAGGAAAACATGCCAATCCGTCGATGATGCGAAACTCGCAGTATATTGTACAAGCGAGAGTACGGTCCCCGAATATGCTTGAAAACCGCTCAATTATCGATTCTGCGATAAGCTCTGTTTCCAGCTGCCCATTTGTGTCCTTTATCAGCAGAGACACCGGTTAGAACGACTCCTGCAGCAATCAGGACAGAGAATATCCACGCAAACGTGTTGAATATGTAACCAGTGCCTGTTAGAAGACCAGATAGCGGGGTCAGAAAGGGATCGAAACGAGGAGAATATTAGAGAAAGTCAATACAGCCGCTTTGAAAAGTGAACTGTTGGTTTCAAAGCGCGATTATTGCCAGAGGGCAGCTACTGAAAGTCGCGGGAAGCATACGAACAAGAAATGGCACTTACCCGGTTTGGCATCTTCGAAAGTGGGGAACGCACCGGTACGCATGGTGTCAGTCACGATTGCGAATGCAACAATTTGCATTACAGCTAACAGCCAAGTTGATTTCATGGCAACGCAAGCAGAATCAAAACTCACCATGTAAAGCAACCAGTCCGGCAACTGCCTTCCATATCCTTCTCCTTCTCGATCCCGTGCTTACGCCGATTAAGATGGCGAACAAGGCCAACACTGCGAACCCGATACTGATCTCGACTGCGTACCCAGCACTAGTCCATGCAGCGCAGAAATTAGAATTCTCTTCCTCGCATCCATCTTGCACGCGTTTAGGGAATGGACGACAATCGTAAGAGGTATATTCAAGTCTGGAGTTGTTGTCGCTGCCGGGAATGTTGACGTGCTTCAACTCGCATAGCGTTGTAAGGCCATAGCGAAGGGTGATTTGGGTACGTAGAACTTCTGGTGTTTTGACGACGAGCCTGTGTAAAGCCAGTTCGTAAGCTGAGAGGAAGTGTATGGACGTCGATGTATGTTTGCGCACCAGTCTACACGCTTCAAGGAGAGGACATTCTGCGATATTACAGAGAATTAGGGTCTGCAGCTCTAGAAACATAGAGCTTGACATACAAAGATTAAGCTGACAACCACAGCCAGAAAGGTGATAACGTAGGATATTTTTCGCATCTTGGAGGAGGTTGCAATGCAAGAGCAGAATTAGAAACGTGATTGATCGCAAATCGCCCCGATGATGTCATCATACTGACAAAATAAAACAAAAATAATGTCCCTGGGGAGATTCGAGCTCCCGGCTTCACGGAGATATTAACCACAACGTGATAATTTGACCACTAATCGACAGGGACTTGACAGTGATGCCTCAACAGAGGTATCATATTCAGAAAGATACTTCATAGCTTATTCAACCCAATGATTACACAACTTCAATACTGTAGTGGCCAGACTGTAATCCAAGAAAGCTCCAAGCGAGCTGCCTACACCCCAGGAACACCTCTGACAACATGTGGATAAGTCTCTGCAATCATCTATAGACAGAATTTCAGCACGCAGAAAGGTTCGTAGATATGTAGACAGGGGAACGTACCCCAAAAAGTGCAGGTGCACGGATCGAAAGCACCTGCGGGTCCTCTCCAAGACCGACGAAACTACGATTACAGAACATGAATCATTTTCATTTTCAAACGGAATGTCAAAATCGAACGTACATGGTCGAGACACCCGCTTCCACGGCAGAAGAAAGGGTCAATGCTAATGAACACCATGAACCACCGTTTAATACATCAGCGCAAGTAATCACTCACAGCACATCAGCCCGATGAGGAACGCGAACAGTATAACTGGAGCAGTGTATTGTCCATCCGAGTTGTAGGACGGATCAGTGACTATGAAATTTTTCAGAAAATGCAAACGACGTCGGATGCGATACATACTGCGCAAGTACAAGTACGCAAACAGCGAGGAGAGCATTCCGACAGCATATGCACCCCATGTCAATGCTAGATGGGCAGCCATTAGAAAGGGAAGAGTTTTCCATGTCCATAAACTCAACTCACTCATTCCGACTAAAGAGTCATTGACAAGAGCATCTATACCACGGTCTTTGAACAATCTCCATGTATCTTTCGAAGCACCCAAGTAACTCTTGCCGTACAGGGCTATCGTGAGTCACGCGATGAGCCAATGTACAAGGTGATTCTCGTGGAAACAAACCAATCTCAATGTAAGCATATCTAAGGAAGATATTCTGTTCAATAAGTAGATACAAACACAAACATGAAGACTAACCGGTTGAAATATTCGACGGCATTTTCAATACATCCAACAAAACAAGCCGCACAGCACGCCAGACAAGCCTCGATGGCTAAGAAGAAAATATGTAAGACAATTTCATGACAATTACTGAGATGCTCACGGTGTCCGTCTGCGTTGGCACTGTTCTGAACAGCGTGTAGAATCATCTTGAGGAGCTCTAACAGGGTGACAATCAAAGAGCCAAAAGCAATAGATCCAAGCGACAGCGTTGATGCGCGCCTGAAAGCAGACAAAGTAGGATGATTAGGCTAAGGAGAACAATTGAGACATGAATGATCTGTGAAAGCAAAAAAAAACATACCATCTCTCCCATTTCCTTAGGTCCAAAGTAATACCAAGCACCATAAGGTCCACCCGCAAGTGTGGTGAGCGCGACGTTGGCAATGACCTGAGATGTCCAGAGATATGAGAATGTAGCGTAGAAAATCAAGCCAGCGACTTTGCCGCTCGAGCATGATGAAGTGCCACATGCTGTGTATAATAAGATGAGGTGAACATGAACCTCTAAAACGCAACGTACAGGAACTGCCGGGCGTCCATTTCCCATAGCTATGATGTCAATCAGCATGTATAATGACTCTTAGCTAGTATCAGACGACCTACCTGGCGATGCAAGTAAAGACGAACCAGCTGCAGACGCGGATATCGCATAATCAGTGTTAATTGCCATCAAAGAGGGTGAATAAGACGTACACCGATAAAGCTGCTTGCATTATCAACGCTACGAATGCAACAACGTAGACACTAGTGTGATGTTTAGACACATCCATGACAACTTGGAGAAGCAGCGACGCTAAAGGAATACGCGATTTATAGCCCCAATAGGAAAGGATGGAGAATAATGCGATGATAGTAAAGATGATGGCACCGGCTGGATACGAGTCAGTACGGATACTGAGGCGAGGTGAGGCAAAAGCGCGGATACAGACAATAGTACTTTGTGATCCAATAATAAATGCAAATTCCACTAAATTCCAGATGTCAGTCAGGTAGGACTATTAAGAAGGCGGAAATGCATAAGATACACACATATTCAGAGCGATAGAGAGCAGAAGAGTGATGTGCATTATGATTCGAGTGAAAGCCCGGGTAAGGATGAGATAGAGAGCGGATAACAGAACTGCAGCTGCGGTCACCAGAAGTAGCAGATACACTGTGCTCCTACAAGAAAAATTTATAAGCATAAGAATAGAGGTATGGAACGTTTTTCGCGTACTGGTTAAGGGTAACAGCACTACCAGAAGAAGCACCAGACTTTCCAAGTCCTCCTCCGAGTCCGCCATCTGATACCCAAGAATGAATGGCAACCGCAGACAGCGCAACAAAACCAAGAAACTATTCATGAGAGAGTGGTTAGAACATGTCAAGCTGAACTAGTATTGAGAAATTACTTGTAAGACGAAGAATACCAAGAAAATTGGATCGTTTATTTTTTTCTTCGGCTTGAACCTTTCTCCCTCGTATGACTGCTTGTATTCGCCGCCGCCACCATTATTGGCCTGCGGTTGGCTGTAGCTAGGTTCGGCGTAATTTGGCGTCGGCCCAGGGTATGGCGCTGCATTCTGTGGGTACTGAGGATGCTGTGGGTAGCCCTGGGACGGAGGAGGAGCAACTCCCCATTGCTCTTTATTCCATTCAGACATGGAGACTTGGTTGGTCGTGAAGTTGTGGAAGGTAAAGGCGAAGAAGATTGAGTGTAATTCCCGAGACCAGCTCAGGAGGTTGAACTTTACTTAAAATGACGGATGTCTGCAACGCGCCAAGACCTATGATAAGCCGGCTTTGTCATCTAATTCTTTCGGATGATTGACTAATCGAGCAGGCCACTTACGCCTTCAACAACGTAGAGATTACTTTCACTAATTTTCTCGCGGAGGATGCATTGTTGTATACGTACATGAATGTCCCTTTGAATCTGATGCGGGGCTGTCATCCTCAGCAGCTAGCCACGACCAAGTCAATTAGTGCCAAGTTTTTCCATTGACCTCCATATGCATTAACTCAATTGGCTGTTAAGTATAATAAATTCAGAGGGAATAAAGATGGTGCTCGGCTTTAATCAGGTCTGAGATGCGAGCGTCCGAAGTTTCAAAGGGGAAGCTAGTAGATGTTTCTAACAAGCAACTTAATTTGCGAATACCAAGGCGTGCAAATGTGACAGTAGCGAGACTAAGAATACAGAATGAAGGATGTGGTTCAAAAACACAGAGAGCGAGATGAAATAATATCACGCTAAAGAGACATTACCCAGTAGAACGACCAATATTATGTGTTGACCCCAGACCAGAAACAGGAAGAGGAATAGGTGCATCATCGAGCTCACAGCTGTGAGTTGTTCTTAAACCGCACTACTACGACAGTCACATTATCCGTTGTGTGGTTGTTTAATGCATATCGCAAAAGGTGATGAGAAGCGGATTGGGCATCGTTCATGGTTTTGATTTGATTAACCGCGGCTTGGTCGCCAATGACGTCCCAAAGCTGAAAAGAGTCAATACATAGACGAAATTGTCGAGGAAGAGACGTACCCCATCGCAGGCCAATATCAGAAATTCATCCTCGTCACATAATTCGGTTTCCGTCGTATAAGGCGCACCAACAACGAAGTCCTTCATGGACGAGTCTCCTAAACTTCTCGTAACAGCCAAAACTCCATTCACTCGACCACCCATAACAAATCCACCCGCGTCGGTGATTCGTTTTGCTTCTTGTTTATCCGACCCCTTGTGGTCGTATGTCAGTCTGACCGCTTTTCCTGCACGGCACAAGACACCACGCGCGTCGCCAGCGTTCGCGCAATATAAGACACGTCGCGAGTTTTCTGGTGGGATACGAACAGCTTTCAGCTCCTTGGAATCTCTACGCGAGAGCGTCGGGGATTGGGATTTGCGAACAGGTGAAATAGCTCCAGATATTGTGCCTCCTCCTAAGCTCATTAAGGCTTTCTTGATAGGATTGCTTATCGACTTCTTCTTCGGCTTGGACACTTCATCTCCTGATGCACTTTCACCACTGCTTTCGTGCGGACTAGCTGGCTCTTCACCTTCTCGGGGTTTAGTAGACACCGGGGATTCCGGTTGCAAAGGTTGAGATTGAGCGAGGTCAAGGAAAGACTGATGACCATCCGCATCCTCGATCCGGAGGAAAGCAGTCACAGCCGTACATCCCGAGTGAATTTTGCCGTCAGATTCTTCGCACATTTGTGACAAACTTGCATCGACTTCATGGAAAGTCTTATTAAGGAGATCAGGGACGGACATTGCTGGCGCTGAGCGCAAACTGTCAAGAAGATACTGTGCATGAGGCGTCGTTAAGTGGAGCAAAGTTAGCGTATTGGCAGATTATGACGCACCTCGTGAAAATGGTTGCCGCACCATTCTGCAGCATGTTTCCCTGCATGACCATCAAATATCGCAAAGAAACCTTGGCCACGAATGTTGTCAAAGTCTGTCACAAATGAATGTGCATCTTCCATCGTCCGTCGAGTACCCTTGTCTTCGGAGACTCCGACTTGGAACCAAATGTTCTTTACTGCATGGCGATTTAATATCTAAAAAGGTTGAACCACAGCATCAGCCCATCGTTCAAGAAATGGAGAAAGCAAGTCATACTCCATGGGTGTCGAGGTCAGCAGTCGTGATAGACTTGGATCGTGCATTGGGCGATTCACTAAAGCCAGTCCTGGGCATACTAGATGGCCTTTACTGGCGTCAGACACTGAAAAAGTTCCAAGTTAAAGAGAAAGGAAACCGACGGTAGTGCAGGCGATGAAGGAGGAGAGGACGCTGCTGGAACAGGGTTTAGTCAAATTCACGCTGACATAGAAACAGAGACACGGCGATCGGCACGTACAATCATGTTCATCGTAGGCCTCATCTGAATTTGCCAAAGTGCTGGAAGTTGCGGCCATGGTATTATGCACGAAATTTACGAGGGAGTGCTTTGGGTGCATCCAAAGTAAAGGTTAATTTATATTGCCAGGGTCCAAGCGCGCGTCATTAACCGGTAACATCACGTAATACTTCACCGATAC